GTTTATTTTTCTCTGCTGCATTTTTAACCTCAACCAATTAACTGACTGACGGACTAGATGGTGGTTGTCATCATTATTTTCTAGGCAAAGCTTGCAAAGGTCTTTTATCGTCTTTTTTATTTCAAGAACTTTTATGTCGTTTTTTTCCAGCTATCTAATTTAAGAATAACATGTCACAACAACAATAAAAAATACCATTTGATGGTCGGTCAAAAGACATCAAAGCAACATAAGAAGAAACTATCGATTGATTGGAAATTTCTGGTGGCCAGTTTTCTTGCATTTATTTATTTCTTGAAAATTAACTTTGGTGTCAGATGGTATCAAGTGACACTTAAAAAAATGGGCGGTCAAAACTTTTGCTTTCCGTATTGAACTTTTGTAGTTATTTTTTTGTTTTTGTTAGTGGTGACAACTTAAAAGATGTCTTTGAAAGAGATTAACAAACTGTGTCTTGTTACTATTGCTGCTACTTGCTATCTGCTGATTTTTTGCCTATCTGGCAGGGTTCTTGTTGTGTCCGCACATTACTCAGCAGCAATTGCGGACAAATTGAAGACCAACAAATGCGTTTTTTTAAATTTATTCGTTTGTTCTTTCTTCTCAGTTTTTTCTCCTTGTTTTATATTTTATGCCAGCCTGCTGCTCTCTCAGAAAAATAGTAACAACGTAAAAACAATAAAAAATGGGAAAAATTGAGAAAAAGAATTGAAAAAATAAAGCACAACTGGCTACTACTGGTATATGGTGATATTATTATATTTAATCAACACCCGTTGTGTCAGCTCGTCGTCTTCTTCCATTCCATTATTTCCCCCTATTTCTCATTTGGCCACAACACAGCGTTTCACATTCGTTAACTCGTCAGCGGCCTAACGTTGTCGTGGCCTCTCGCTTTGACGGACGCAAATTTTTTTCAAGCGCGATTTGAGACATCCATCCATCCATTTATCGAAATATGAAATAAAACACTTATTATATCGGCGGAACGGAAATTAAATTAATTGTAAAATAAATAAAAATAATAAAAACTAACTGCAAGCAAGCGGGAGATGTATTCAAACGATATTAAATACTTGCCTTGGTTATAAAACAGCAAAACGTTTGCGTTGTTATTTTTGATAAGTAAAACTATCATCAATAAAAAATTCATTAAAATGTAATAATTGCAATTAAACACCACCACTGGTCGTCACTGTGATGATCGCAGTTTGAAAATAAGAAACGGCTATCGAGATATTTTACAAATTAGTGATTAATTTATGGAAGTGTGCTTGGAATTCAAAATTGGAAAATTGAATTGAAATTGTTTTAAAATTAAGTGCTGCTACGACACACCAAATTAAAAGAAATAAGAGTGCTACGTTATGAAGAATTCTGTGATACGGATTTATCTAGATAATAATTAATTGCTACGATCTTCGCAAACTTGTCTGTCGGTCTTCTAAAAGCGAATGATTAAAATTTATCTAAATTTCAACTACGATTCTGTTGTCCTCTTCGTAAATAGAATTTTTATCGAAGGACCAAGTAATAGAACATTACTTGGTTATGGAAGATCTAATGCTAATACTCTCCTCTAAAATCTCCTGACATACTAATGATTTTCCGAATTTCCAAAATGTCCACTGTCATTCTGCTGTTTCCTAATACAATTGTGATCGAAGGACCACAAAAATGTTCAATAATTAAATCAATTACTATTCAAAAGAAGATCTAAACGATAATCCCTTACAAAATTTCCTGACAAAACTGTTCTAAATGTGTTCTCAGTTAATGTATAGTTCCTGGGAAATTGTCTATTTGTAGTACATTTTTTGTTAATATTTGTCAGGCAAATTTTATATGTTTTATTATACTTCTTTCCTCTGCTTTTGCATAAATTAACTATTTCTATGAACAAATTTTTACAATTTATGAACTCGTTAACATTTAGCAGCAACAATTTTAATAAATCAATAATAAATCAGTAATTTTTATAATATAAATGTGTCTGGTTTTTCATTGAAATTTTGAAACATTGCTCCGTTGCTCAGGTTTTGTTTATAAATGAACTAGTTCATATATAATATGAATAAAGTTCCTACATTATATGAACTTATTACAAAGTAAAATATTTTTAAACATATTGTAATTAGTAGAAATTCTGGCAAAGCAAGAGATATGTAAAAACGTGAACCACTGAAACCCAATTGGTACTGCTCTCAACATCGCTCTTCTCATTTACATAAAATACATGAAGTAGTTCATATTATACATGAAAAAAGTTCCTACAATATATGAACCGATTATGATTTCAAACAGAATATGTTTAAAGAGTAATGTTTTGTGCTTTGTTTATTACAAATGTTGTCTCTGCTCTCTGGGAATTGTGCAAGTCACAAATATTGTTTTGTGTATCAATTAAATATTGAAGTACCATGCTAAATATGGTTTTGAGAAATAATTTCCATTAGATTTATGTAGTATTTCATATGAACATATTCCTAAATTCTATGAACTCTTTGATAAAACACGGACACACTCATATTGTGCTCGAAGGACCAATTTGTTTTTAACGATCTGTTAATTTTGTCACCAAATTGTTAACAATTTAGTTGCTCAATTGAGTACATTCTCGAAGGACCTAATTTTTGTTTTTTACAACTGTTTGTTGCTAGGCGCTGCATTTAATTCTTTTTGTTTTTTGACTACTCTTTTTCTTTTGGAAGTATTAGAAGAATTAGGAAGATACAAATGAATATTTCATGCATGGTCGAAGGACCAATTTATTAATTCCTTCAATATATGTTTGAATTTATAAAAGGGACCATATGGAGTTTCTATATTTGTAAATATGCAAGACTTCAATATATCAGCCCAAAATTCCTAAAAATAAAACTGTTTTGCTCGAAGGACCATCTTTTCATTATAAACTTTATTGAATTATTTTATTCCCTTGGTATAAACTAGTTTTTTCCTTAGACCTTCTAAACTATTTCCTATGTGCTTTTTATTGCTATGTTACACTTTTTGTTAGCGATACAAATAAATATTTCGTTGCCGAAGGACCAATTTATAAGTAATTACCAAAGATTAACCTCCTATATGAGAGATCTCAATATATTTTGAATTTGTCATACCTAATTTCTTGAAAAAAGAAAAACATATTTCGCTCGAAGGACCAAATTATAATTTCATTCTTAATAGAATTGTTTGATTTTTCTATTATGGATCTCCATTCATTCACGTGGTTTCCCAAAGAAGTGTGTTTTGAGCAACATAATCCAAAGTGCAGCTATGTACATTAAGCTCGAAGGACCAAATTATTGTTTCATATTTATAGTAAATATATATTTGTTGGATGCTGCATAGTGAATATTTTTTCTAGTCATCCTGCTTAATAATATTTTATTCGGGATAACATGTAATTATTGGACAAAATTTCAATTTAATTATGAGAATAGTCTGCTCGAAGGACCAAATTAGAATATTTTGTAACGGGAGGCTGTATACAATTCATATTTTGCTTTTTTTGGCTACTCTTATATTATGGATGTATTTGGGGAATTGTTCGAAGAACAAATTTATTATTTATTTCCTTCAAGATATGTTATAATTTAGAAAAGGAACCAATATATCAGGCCAAATATTCATAAAAACCTCTATTTTGCGCGAAGATCCAAATTTTCATTATACACTTTATTGAATTATTTTATTCTCGTGATTTAAAATAAGTTTTTTTCTTTAGACCTTATAAATTGTTTTCTCTGTGATTTTACTGCTATGTTACACTTTCTTTGGTAATACAAATAAATATTTCGTGCTCGAAGGACCAATTATAGGCAATTCAAGGATAATTTTTGGTAATTAGAATATATTAACAAAAATTAACATCTGCAAGATCTCAATATATTTTGAATTTGTGATACCTAATTACTAAAATAAAAATTATTTTGCTCGAAGGACCAAATTATAATTTCACGCATAATTGAATTGTTTTGATTTTTCTATTATGGATCCATTCATTCGCGTGGTTTGTTGTATTCTTCAGGGCTTCTGAACGGGTTTCTCTGTGATTTTACACTTAATTTTTTTTGCATTAAAAGGAAAAAAGAAAACAAACTAATATTGTGCTCGAAGGACCACAAGTTAAATAATGAAACTAAAAATATAAAATAATAATAAGAAAATATAAAAAAATAATAGATAAAAGCAAACATAAAATGAAAAAGAAAGAAAAAAGGAAACAAAAAGGAATAGAAAAAAAATAAAACAAAAATAAATTCTATAAAAATAAATTAAATTATAAGAAAACAATTAACTAAAAATTAAAAAATAGAAAAACAATAAAATATTATTACAAATTAATAAGAATACTTTTATAGAAATAATTGATGAATATAATTTTAAAATTGAAATGTGACATAAAAACCAGTATTTTTTCTCTCACTTCCATAAATTTTGAAAATGTTGACTAATTCCAAACCTGCGTTGGCGGCAAAAACAAAAATCTACGAATCAAGTTTTTTAAAAAATATCTGATCTATTTTTTACAGAAAATATTTAAGAAATGTGACAATACGCTATAAAAAAACCACAACAACAAAAAAATCATCATAATCATTAAATAAAAATAAATATCATCAAAGAAAAAAATATTAAAAAAATGACAACGAAATACAAGAAAAAATAAAATTTTAAATTAAAAAAAAATATTTAACACAATAATTAAGTCCACAATATAAATTGGCGCTAAAAGTGTAACAGCAAAGCATAGCAACGAATTTATATTTATAAGAAAATCATCTAAATGAGACTTACATACATACATAACTACATGTGATATATAAAGTGCGTGCCTTTTTGATTTTCGAATATTTGAAAAAAAAGAATATTTTGTTACTGCCAACACCTCATCAAATCATCGTGATTGCAATTAAATGAATTTTTATATGGAAATTTAATTGCCTTACGTTTACAACAATAACAAGTGAATAAAGTTATAACGACGGCCCCAAAATGCCAGTTAGTGGTTTTGAATACACCACCAGACCCTATAGCTCCTTTCGAGGACCTAGGGGTAGTTGTGCCATGCAGCATCATACCACAGCTACATATTTACGACAACAACCGACAACAAATTCGGCTCATCACTCCCATCATAATTGCACCAAAATATCTTTGAATGGTGGCAACCCTTTACAGACTTCCTCTTCAGCCAGTTCCATAGCAGTAGTTAAGAGTCATCATCATCATTGCCAAAATAACAATAACAACAACAATAATAATGGAAGCAGTAGTGGAGGTCTGTCCTCCTCGAATTTTGTGAGGCAACAGCCCATGCGCACTAGTTTTTATGGTACCCGTTATAACCACAAAGTGGCCCCTAGTGGGGGAGATCTTACAAAAAATTCCAACTCAAATGGTGGTGGATCGGTGACCACATCCTCCACCACCACGGTGAGTGTTAAACCTCTAACCCCAAAGTTGGTGAAACGTATCGAAACAACCTGCTCTCAAACACATAACAAGGCTCGTGATCCCAATCCACCAACAGCAGCAGCAGTGACATCCACGTCATCCTCCACAACAACAACAAATGGTGTTAACTCCACCCCACCCACTGCCCATAAACAGTATTTAAGGCCACGTAATTTACCACCCACACCCCCTCAAAGGAAGTCCTCAAATTTCGATAGGTTCCATCAGACCAATTTAAGTATTCGACAAAAGACTAGCAGCAGCAGTAATGCCAACAACACGAACACCACACATGCCAATTGTTCATCTGCCATCAGTTCCAGTAATGGTTCACAAGAATCCCTAATACCCAAGGCGATCCCCACTTCGAGTGTAAGCACCCAGAAACGGGCCTATGCCAATACGGTGAGTAAAATCGCCAAGGAAAATCAACCCAAGGAACTAACACAAAATGGATCTCATCATAATGGACCGGCCAAGTCCATTAAATCCTATCCAGCCCCCTTACCACCCACAGCCTCGTTTCGCAGGAAATGTAAGGAGGAGTCCTCCGCTTCGCCTAATTTAAATCAGCGACGTTTCATATCAAGTGTGGGCATCAATTCCTTTAATGCCAGCTGTAATGCCAAGGCCTTGCCATCACCGGCCATGGGACAGCGTAACCGGACAACTACAACTGCTCATAATTCCTCAGCTGCCCCGGGTACCCCCACATTTGGGCGCAATAAACCCACAACTGCTTCCACAACAAGGAGTATCGGCGCATCCTCCTCCAACTATGGACAAAATAAAAATTATTCCCACAGTCACCAGCAGCATTCATCGATAATGGCCCACAAAACTGGCAGTACTGGTAGTAATAGTTCTTCAAATCAATCGAGTGGTTCTCAGGGTTCACCCAAGTCCAAGAAAGCCTTCTCAACGAAATTCCCTCAGGGTTTGCCTTTTGAAGATGAGTTCTATCGGCGTAATCGTTCCTATTCGCAATCCTCTTCAAGCAACTACAGCTTCTATAGTTCCAATGGCGGGGGAGGTGGGCGCACAGGTGATAATGCCACCACACCTCCAACTCCTCGGGATTATGACGAGGCCGAGGATGATGAATTCCAGCGGAAACCCTCCAATGATGAACCACTCTATGTTGACTTTACCAAGGTCATCAATCATCATCAACACAAAACAACGAATGGCCGGATATCTCCACAAACCACCTGGATAGGTGGCCCCGGAAATACCAGCAAACTCATTACCAACCCCTCAACGAATTATGATTCTAGTCTAAATTCACCTCATTCGCAACGACGTTGCAGTCACCTCTTGAGCAACTCCTCAAACACCTATCAACACAATCATGCGAACAATTCGACAGATACTCTGAACACTTTGGCGACGGCAAATTCGACAACCTCGCTACGTTCTAGAACGAAATATTCCACCTGTATCAACGATTATCTCTACGCTAGTAATGGTAAATTGTCCAACAATGTGGCAACTCCGCCAGCTAGTGATAGTAGAAAATCTCTTTTATATTCTTCGAAATATTTGGATCCTTATCATCAAGCCGATAATGGTTATTATACCCATGCTTCACCAGATTCTTCGCCACCACCACCATCCACCTCATCTCATCAGACGGACATCTATAAGGCTGTTGCATCGTGGGCTCCAAAATGTTCACATCCGACTAAGGTTCGAATACCATCATCATCATCGGCTGCCGATTCGAACAACAACAATCAGAAAGAGGATTATATCAAACACCGTTATTTGCCACAACATGAAATTGCAGATAAATATTATGTGTCACCCTGTATTATCGACAAGTCGGATGATGTTTTGGAGTCCACGAATCGTGAGTATAGGTAAGTGGATGAGAAAAAAGGAACGTTATTCTCTAAGTATTTTATATAGAAATGAAATCTCAAACAGGTCGAAAAATTTCTCAGAGGCGTTTTTTCTATAGAAAAAAATTCCTCAGTGTTACTGAGGTGATTTTTTCTATAGAAAAAAAATCCTGAGTATTACTGAGGTGATTTTTTCTATAGAAAAAAAAACAATCCTCAGTATTACTGAGGTGATTTCTTCTATAGAAAAAATTCCTCAGTATTACTGAGGTGATTTTTTCTATAGAAAAAAATTCCCCAGTATTACTGAGGTGATTTTTTCTATAGAAAAAAATTCCTCAGTATTACTGAGGTGATTTTTTCTATAGAAAAAAATTCCTCAGTATTACTGAGGTGCTTTTTTCTATAGAAAAAATTCCTCAGTATTACTAAGGTGCTTTTTTCTATAGAAAAAAATTCCTCAGTATTACTGAGGTGCTTTTTTCTATAGAAAAAAATTCCTCAGTATTACTGAAGTGCTTTTTTCTATAGAAAAAAATTCCTCAGTATTACTGAGGTACTTTTTTCTATAGAAAAAAATTCCTCAGTATTACTGAGGTGCTTTTTTCTATAGAAAAAAATTCCTCAGAATTACTGAGGTGCTTTTTTCTATAGAAAAAAATTCCTCAGTATTACTGAGGTGCTTTTTTCTATAGAAAAAAATTCCTCAGTATTACTGAGGTGCTTTTTTCTATAGAAAAAAATTCCTCAGTATTACTGAGGTGCTTTTTTCTATAGAAAAAAATTCCTCAGTATTACTGAGGTGCTTTTTTCTATAGAAAAAAATTCCTCAGTATTACTGAGGTGCTTTTTTCTATAGAAAAAAATTCCTCAGTATTACTGAGGTGCTTTTTTCTATAGAAAAAAAACCTCTGTATTACTGAGGTGTTTTTACTGAATTAACATTATTATAAGTTTCTATTGTATACCCAAAATAATATATTTTTTAATTAATTTTCGATTATTATCTACCAAACTTTTTTACCGAAATATTCCCCTACCATAAAAAGCAACAATCGAACACCTCTATTAACCTTATTGTGTGTGTTTTTCCTACAACAATTCTCAATGATTACAATCAGATTTTGTGTTACTCTTTAAAGCTCAAGTATGTATTTTAGTTTTAAGTGTTTTATTTCCTGTTTGATTTTGTTCTTGGTTCTTGACTTAAGAGGTTTACGAGATTAACACTACAGAGTTCTTAAAAAAAGTTTTCTTGGTTAGCAGTTTTTTGCCACACATTAATGACGGCATGGAATTCCAAATAAGGCTTCTCATGGTCGGAAGATATCTGCGGACATGGGCAACAATTGAAGCTAGGTGAACAAAAACAAAAAAAAAAACGTCCTCAGCAAATAAAGGAAAAATCCATTTTAGAATTAAATAGATAAATTCCGACACTTTTTTCTCATAAAAGGATTTAATTGGCGGCACGTGTACCTTAGAAAAATACCGATGGATATTTATAAAAGTTCTTTGTAAATTTCCGAAAATATTTTGTTTACCATAGCCAACATTTTCCGGAGACGAATTGTAACTTTTTTTCAACTGGTCATTAATACCAGATACTCCATTGTTATTTTTTTTTCTTTTAGTAGGCGTCTTTAATTTTGAATTCTTTTGTTTTCCAAATAAAAATACAAAACCAAATTACCATTTGTTTTCTTATGGCATCGCCATTAAGCGAAATGGCCACCGTTTTGCCCATTTTAGGTTTCGGTTAAGTGAAAATTTTATTGGCTCTGCAGAACAAGTCTTTTGTTTTGGTTTTCTGAATTACTATGATTCACCTCTCTATAATTCACCTAATCCAGTCAGTTGATGATTATGATCACGGCAATCATTATGATGACGACGACAATGGTGGATGGGTGAATCCGACCAACCATCATCCGTCTGTCCGACCCCATGATTTATTTTTATTATAGTTTTGGTTTTTAATCACGAAATATCATCACAACACCATAACATCATATTAAATAATGTTTTTATTATTTAATATTTTTTCTTTTCAATGGAATTTGTTGGTAAAAAGAACACGAAAGTGTTTGTGTTTTGAATTTATAAATAGTGGCCAAAAAGCAAAACAAAATCAAAATTGCTAATGAAAACATAACTCGAATGACAGACATAATATTTCGACAGAAAAAAACATAACACAGCTGGTCGGATGTGCGCCAATAATTTCCGGAAAGAACTGAAACACATGAATACTGAAAATTTTTTATACGACTTTTTTCTATAGAAAAACACAACTTATAAATATTGAGGATTTTTTTCTACAGCAAAAAGCACCTCATAATACTGAGGAATTTTTTTCTATAGAAAAAAGCATCTTAGTAATACTGAGGAATTTTTTTCTATAGAAAAAAAGCACCTTAGTAATACTGAGGAATTTTTTTCTATAGAAAAAAGCACCTCAGTAATACTGAGGAATTTTTTTCTATAGAAAAAAGCACCTCAGTAATACTGAGGAATTTTTTTCTATAGAAAAAAGCACCTCAGTAATACTGAGGAATTTTTTTCTATAGAAAAAAGCACCTCAGTAATACTGAGGAATTTTTTTCTATAGAAAAAAGCACCTCAGTAATACTGAGGAATTTTTTTCTATAGAAAAAAAGCACCTCAGTAATACTGAGGAATTTTTTTCTATATAAAAAGCACCTCAGTAATACTGAGGATTTTTTTTCTATAGAAAAAAGCACCTCAGTAATACTGAATAATTTTTCTATAGAAAAAAAAGACCTCATCTGGGCTGAGGAATTTTTTTCTATAGAAAAACAGTCTTCAGAATACTGAGGAATTTTTTTCCTACTGAAAAACAGTCCTCAGAAATACTGAGGAATGTTTTCCTACAGAAAAACAGTCCGCAGTAATACTGAGGAATTTTTTACCTCTTTGACCTTTTTGACCTGGATTTTTTTTATATAGAAAAATAGACCTCTGCTGAGCTGAGGATTTTTTCTATACAAAAACAAACCTCAGCTGATACTGAGAATTTTTTTTATAGAAAAACAATCCACTGTAATATTAGGATTTTTTTCTATAGAAAAACAGACCTCAGCGGTGCTGAGCAAATTTTTCTGTAGAAAAAGTCACTTCAGTACAATACAGAGATTTTTAGAAAAAATAGGAACGGGAAAAGAAAGAATTCTACAGAAAAAAAATCCTTAGCCCTAGCTGAGGTTACGTTTTTCTATATAAAAAGTTGTCTATATAGGATATGTGCCTTTTTCTATTGAAAAAATCCTGTTGTTTATTATTTTTTGTTATTATTTTTTCTTCAACAAAAAAAGTCATTATAGTACTATTGAAGTATTGAGTTTGTATAGAACAAAATCCGATTCTATGGTTCTAATACGAAAGTATCTGTCAAGAAACTTTGCTACTTAATTCCGTGCACTTTTTGTTGTTGTTTTAAAATAAATGAATAATTAACATTGACACCTATTCTCAATGGCAAAAAGGGGAATGTCAAGACAAATCAACAAAAGAGAATATTTTCTATAAACGTGACAATTTATGACAGACGAAGCTGTCAATAAACAATAATTCTTAACGTTAAGAGACATCGATCGTCAGCATCGCCACCATCATCAGCATCATTAATAACAGTGATTAAAGGCAATTACCAATTAATTTCGATTAACTTACAAAAATTCTTTATACAAAACAAACAAACAAAGCAACATTGGAAAAAAATAAAAAAAAAAAAAATAAAATAAAAAAACGAAAAAGAAAAAATAAATAAAAAAATTATGACTAGAATATAATCACGAAATCAATGGCTTCCCCACACCCATTTGTCATATGGTTGCTGGTTGGTCATTTTTGTTGTCAACAAATCCAATTGGACATGTATTGACAGACGGTAGGTAGGAACAACAACAAAACGAACAACATAATAATTACAGACATTTGTACAAAATGTTCGTCAAAATCCAAATAACAACAACAACATTATTGTTGAGTTGTCATCAGACCTATTAGCAGATGATTATTGTGTTGTCACTCGGCAGTTTCGTTGTTTGTTTGATTATGTCAGGTGGTTCCACTAATCGAATCCACCTCTCATCCGTCGGCTGTATTTCTTTAAATTTATTTCCAACTTGTTTCACCATATATGGTTACTATTCCACTGACCATATTTGGTTTTATTGCCGCAAAGCGAGAACAATATTTGAAATTATAACTGATTTTTCGATACGATTCGGGTTTTTTTCATAGTCGCCGGATGGCGTCCAGTGGCGACCGCGGCGTCATCATCAATTTTTATAAATGACCAAATGACGCAGTTTTTTGCCTAAAAACCTCATAAAAATAATAACCAATGATTTTGGAGCATTCAAATTAACTGTGAGGACATCAGTGAATTATGTTTTTGTTTTCCATGAATTTTTTGATCGATTATTTGACCTGTCCGTCCTAAGGCCGGCCTAACTGTCGACGCGTCTTAGGCCTTGTAATGTAGACCTCTCTCTCGATTTTGTTGTAAACTTTTTGCCGTCTGGTCTACCCGGCCGTCTAGCCTTGTTAGCTAATTATTTGTTGGTTGTTTGTTGCAAATCGGTTGTTGTTTTTGTATCGCTTAGCAAGAAGCAGGAACCGGCGGCAACAACTCAACCGTCAACAGCAAAAAAAAAACAACAACATCAACAAAACTTGATGTGACCATATTTAATCATAATAATAAACAATACAAAATACATAAAATGTATTTTAATAATGACAACTGCAACAAAAACAACAACATCAAGTTTAATAAGATTTTTCAAACGGACTTATTGTCTTTACAATAATAATCGTGATGTATTGTAATTGAAAATTATTCCGCATAGAAATAATAACAAATCAAATTATTTTTTTGTATAAAAAACAGACCTGTGAAATACTGAACTTTTTTCTATAGAAAAAAAGTACACACAACTACTGAGGATTTTTTTCTATAGAAAACGGCCCTCAGCAATTTTTTTCTATAC